TTATGCATGTTTTGTCTGCACCATATGGGTAAGGTAATATTAAAGTATTCAAGTAAACTGGTAAATCTGATTGTTTGCATTGTTTGAAAGACAGAAATGCTTTTTGATTGCTTGCTATGGTCATAGTTGAAGTCTTCTTGACTATGGTGAGTTAGTTGTTTTTAGTGGTATACTCTATTCATTGTATCACAGTTCTTTGTGTTTCAAGATTAAGGTCTTTATTGTTGGACAGTAGATATACTGATATGATCTGAGTTTTGTTATGATTAGAAAAAAATAAGTTAATTGTGATAGCAGTACTAGACTATGTCATAATATTATAGATGTAGGGCTAAATTGGTTTTGTAAAAATGATTGCTATTCTTATACTTGCTTTCTAAATATTTGCTGTTAAGATATCACAGTTTATGATATAGATATAGTAATAGGAGTTGCTAGTCTGTAGATTAGTATATGTAGATGCAATAAACTTTGTCTCGTCATGCTGATTATATGAAACTGGTATGCATTGCAGAATTCAAGCCATAATTGTGTTTTAAATCTTGTGTTTAGGCTTTGTATATTATGTGTACAATTATAATTTTGTCATATATAGGTGGAACTATATTATATTTGTAATCTGTTATATTTTTCATTATTGTTAATTCTGTTGTAGTTAAATTGATTTAAGATAATGCTGTGTTATACACAGATTTGTTGTTACTTGATGAGGTCATAGTTATTGAGAAACAATTCCCCAGCTAAGTTCTGAGAGATGTGAAAGTGCTAAAATAGAGTTGGATATAGTTTTGATTGTTAAGTGCTAATGCAAAATGCCTAAAGTTTTTGAAACTTCCTTTGGTCAGTAATTTGGAGTGACAATTGTATAGTATAAATATTGTTATTTTTTAGATAACTCAAAATTTCATTCAGCTTATTGGTATTGTCAGTTTAATAAGTGGGATGTCTGTCAGATTAGTTTTTTCTGTTGTATTAGAGTTGATTTCTATTCAGGAGTTTTAGGAGTTAGAGATATGGTAGAAGTAATAGAATTTCCTTAGTAGTTTGACTACCTCTGTTAGGTTCTTTGTTGAGATAATAGGTGTTAGGATACTGTATTTTGTAATTTGCACTAGGTTCTCAGGGAGGTCAGGCTTTTCAGTGAGGTTGATAGTCATAATTTCTGGGGATATTGGCAGTTAAATTTATAATTCTAACTGATATCTAAGATAAATTCTATAGTATCCTGCTTGTCATTAATTGGAATATATAGATCTTTATAGTTTTAATTTTGTTTGAATTCTTAGGAAAAAGAAGGTTTGCCTAATAGTAATCATTAGGCAGGTTTTTGATGGAGTATTCTTCTTGTAGTTCTTCTATAATTTTTTAAGATTTGCTATAGTAGTTATTTGAGTCAAGTAGAAAGTAGCTTCTGTATTTATGACTAAGATTTTGGTATGCCAGGGTAGGTGAACTTTGGGTACTGGTAGGTCAAAGTAGTTTGGTAGTATTGTTTTCACCTTGTAGTATTGGCAGAGTTTTTTTTATAGTTGCCTAGTTCTTTGAGGCTTTTTCTATCAGTGATTGAGAATAAATTTCTTACTGCCAAATGAAGATTGGCTAAGTTAGTTGGGAGGAATCCAGGTTTGTAAAGTACTCCTTGGATAGTTGGTCAAATTGGTATATACGATGAAGTGCAGTAACTACTGCTTTAGTATAGACTTTGTTTTTTATAGGTAGAGCAAAAGATAATATTTGTTATATATTCTCAAAATCTTGTCTGAATAACTAGGTAGTTGTTAGAGTTTTTCAGAAAAGGCTTTTTAGACTGTCTTTTGAATTTCTTCATATTTGTTTAGCATTGTATCTTTAGTGAATCCTTTATAGTATTTGATTAGTTGTATAATATATCTAGAAGAACAGGTGTTGAAGTTTATATTTATAATATAGTTGAGAAATAACTTTTGCTGGAGTTTCTGATGAATATTGTCTCTTGTGTCTTTGTTAGTTATTGTGATTTGATTTGCTTTTTTATAATTTTATAATATACTATAAAACATCTTTTTGTATTCTGTTTGATGTTATGATATGAAGTGTTTAGCTCTGGTGAAGGTAAGGAAGAATGCCTAGTCTAGGTGCTTGAATTTGGCAGAGATGCCTGGAGAAATTTGTTTTTGGGTAGGTTTGGTTGCTATTTTATATTTGATAAAATCTTGTAAACTATTACTAGATTGGAGGCTGATAATCAGTTTGTCATAGTGCTGTTGAAAGGCTGTGTAATTTCTTTTGTTAGTTCTTTATGTATATGTTCTAACCATTTTTGGGTTGTGTCCGCATCAATTTGCATTGTGTTGCAGATCAAGTTTTGTTTAGTCACTTGGCTGTATATAAATATATTAGGGCTATCTTGGTATACAGAAATGGTTGAAGCTGTGTCAGTTTTCATTTAGGTATTAGTTTATAAACTTTTTAGTTCAGTAATAGGGATGGTCATTTCAGTATTTGCTGGGTCTCCTTGTTAAGTGGTATCTGAGTTAGCTGGATATATCTTGCTGTAGATCCCATGTTGTATGTTTTTGTTGTTGTATTGTTGTTATTATTTAGAGGCTTGGGTGTGTTGTCATTTCTAGAATAAGATGTATTGTCTAATATAGTAATGTTGGGGTTGTTGTTGTGAGAAATTATCATTGTGTTGTTGTTTTTTCTCAGGAACTCTGTTTGGATGTTGTTAAAACATGTTTGTACAAGTTAGTTGTTGTTGTTGTAATGTGATGATATCATATTATTTTTTGGAGAAGATAATCTGAATGGTCCACTTTTGGTATTTGTATATAGTCTTGGAAGAAGAGTACATTGTTTCTTTGCACTTGTATCAGTATAGGTGAATTCTAGTTTGGATGTAGCTGTCTTTTTGCCTTTGTTAGTTTGGCTATTACTGTTGTGTTTACTCATTTGGAGTTAAGGTTGAATAATAAGGGTAAATAATACTATACAGCCTGTAGGCCTTGTATTTTCTTTGTTGTTAGTTGTATAGTTCTTGCTGCTCTGTTTTCTCTTGAGTTTGATTACTTAGAGATATGAACTAGTGGTGTATGAGTATTATTCTGTCTTCTTAACTGTAATTTTAGTTATTTAATTATTTAATTCTATAAATTATGTTGTATCAATTTTTATTTCTTATTAAAATTAGGATCTATGAAAAGAGTTTTTTTAACTATTAATAATAATCTATATATTACTATTTATTAATTAGTATATAAAATTAGTATTTTTTATAAATAAATTAGTTTATTTTATATAAAAATTAAATATAAATAAGTTATATACAAAATAGGTTTCTTGCAAATAGAATCATTAATAGAATACTTAAATTAATAATAAATATATAATATTGCAAAGTATTTTAAAAGCAGATTAAATGTTTTATTATAGTTTAAAGTATTCTATTAACTATTCTACTTACAAAGCCACTGCAAATTCATTACAGCTAATTTTGATTGTGATCTAAATAGCAGAATTAATTACTTATAATTCTGATCAAATTTGCTTAAATTAGAGATCAAAAACTTTGAACTTAGCAAATGATCTGCAAATTTGACCAGAATTATAATAATCGGTTCTACTATTTAGATCACAATTAAAATTAGCTGTAATGTGTAAGTTACATTTCTAAGCTTTTGAAAATTTTAAAAAAGATTTACAAATATTATAACTTATAGTAAAGAAGATAATAAGATTTGATTAAAAAGAATAAAATAGGCTGCAAATTGTTTATTTAGCAAAAATTAAAAAAATATTTTGTATATTTTGTATAATTGAGAAATCATAATATAAATTATAGTTAAACACAAGAATACTATTAATTTTACCTTTATACTAACTATATTCTACCTAAAATTCTTTCAAAATTTTTAAAAAATAGATCAACTATTAGAAATATGATGTTGCATTATAATAATAAAGTCTAAGATTTTACCAAATATAAAAATTGATCTACAATATAGTAAAGAATACTCTAGAATTGATTTATATATTAAATCAGCTAGTAGTGAAATTATCAGATAGTTAATAATAAAATTTTAATTAATTCTAATATAAATAGTCTTATAGACATTTAGTTTAAAGATATTTTGTAATACTAAAAGCTTTATAAGGTGTTTGTTTACTAAATCAAAGAATAAATGATGATTGGTATAATTTTAGCCCATAGATTAGTATAGAATAACAATAGGCTTAAATAGAAGTATTAAGAATTTTCTAATTATACAAAAAAGTGTGTAATCTATATCATCCAAATTTGGTAATATCCGAGACTGTAATACAAGACCATATATCACTGATATTATAACTAATTATCTTAAAAGGAAAGCACATTTCATCCACATATAATTCTGACCTTGCCTCTTGTGACTTCTTTTTATTTTCTAAAATTAGAAAAAACTGGTAGGAAAAAGTTTTGATAGTATTAAAAACTTGGCAAGATCAATTCATGCATTGTTGATAATATCTCTAAAAAGAAATACTACAAGTTATTCCAAGATTGAAAAAATCATCTGAAAAGTTGTATAAAGGTTAATGGAGAGTATTTTGAAGAAATGCAATAGTTTGTTTTAAAATTTGTTATTGAATTTTAATAAATAAATATACATGTTCAAAACTTTCAATCAGCCCATGTATTTGATGAAGTGATTTCGTCATTTATCGATGACAAATCATGTCTTGTCATTAAATGATACCTAAAAGTCGCAGTTTTTTGATTTTTCTTACATTAGTTACACCAGAATGCTATATGGATCTCTTGCATTATAGGTGACATCTACTCTAAATCAATTGATTAATAATACATTTTATTAATAGTGTCACCTATACTGTAAAAGATCCTACAATATACCTATTATTGCACATAAAATTTATGATTCGTGTCATGAAATGCGTCATTCGTCACGAATTTCATTTCGTCACTCAAATTTGCCTGATGAAATAGTTTCGTAATTTATCAACAACGAATGTCACGTTATTCGTCACTCATCATTAACTGGAGCAGACTGGGCCAGACTGATCCATTACAAATAAAAATGAAAAATAGGTAGATATGTTATAGTAAACCAAAATACTAATTTTTTACTTAGACCAATTTAGATCCATTATAAAAGAAACAAATGAATTTCTTATACATTATCAACTATCATAGGTTTTGTCATAAATTTGTCAGTTATCAACTCGTCGTTTAAACTTGCTTGACAAAGATTTCGTCAATCTCAATGGCAAAAGCTTCGCCGTTCATCAGGCATCTTTGCCAGATATCCTCGGGTTCAACGCGCTGGGTCACCCGAGTTGTGTTTTTTTTGGACGGGTTTAATCAATAATTTTGATCGAAGGGATTTGTTCAAATCAAGATCAGAGACACGATCTGTCTGACCACTATGCATAGGTTAGAAATAAATAATTTTAAATATACACATATTTATGTCGGTATTCTTTGCTTACCGAATAGGTATTCAGCTGGTTGAATGTCTATTTAGCAAGCAGAATGCTAGCAGAATGCCGACATACACCAGCATACATTTAGCCCATTCGACAATCAATTACGGTTAGCCAAACTGAAAATAATTAACTATATATGTTGATTTTTGACTCTCTGACTAGTGTTAAGGCGCTATATTAATCGTTCTAAAATATTGTTGTAACCCTTAAGAATACTAATTGATTTATTAGCTTATGATCTAATGTTTTGCTAACAGCCATCATTATTCATGCTGACTAAAATTGTGCCAGCTGGTTGAATTATAAGAATTACACTGCAGTTTTACAAAATTTGAACAGTGTAACGAATTTAATTTTATAATCTTACCCTTTTTGGTGTAATTGATTATTTAACTAAATTAGTATCGTGATTGT